CAACGTTGCAAATATCATTTTCAGATCCGGCACTATTAAGAACCCCGTATACCAAAGGACTCCGCAATATTTAAATGGCAATTGGTTACCCGTGATATTTGAATGAAATTTAAATATGTCATTGGGGATGCCGTAAGCAACATTTTTTACCATGGGCACAACCCTGTATATATGACAGGTGAGGCGTGGTTAGCTGTCAAATATTGGAATCTTATATCCAAAAGCAGAGTAACTATGGCAGATTTTGATGAACAAAAAATCTATTTCTACTAAGTCGACCAAGTTAAGTCGAAAAATGTCAACCATTTTGACACCTGTCAAAACCTTGCCAAACGGCAGCACTCATCTTTTCCAGTTTTCAATATTTTATGATGTCATCTGACATTTTTAGCTTGTATGTAAATTCTGAATTCAAAAATTTAAAAAAAAAATGACAGAGCTGTCAAAACCTGTCATTTGTTTTAGTAGAAAAAAATACTCTAATCTGGCTCTTTCTCGTTTTAAGGTAGTTTATTGGTGATAAAACATTGAACAAAGTTCATGCACGTCACATTTTGACAGCTGTCAGAATCTGTCAATAGGTTTAATTCAAAAAATAATCAAATCTAGTTCTTTCCCAAATTAAGTTGGGCTTATTTATGATAACGCATAAAAAAACATCATACGCAGGTTTCAGATTTGCCAGAGATGTCAATTTTCATTTTAAAGTACGTAGTTTTAGTATAAAGGATTTTATATAGGTGCCTGCGATTTTTTTTGAGTACTTTAATGAAATCATTATAATACTCAGTACTATAATTAAATCATTAAAATACTCAAACATTTTGACACTCACAAATGAAATCTACAATGATGTGCGATTTTGACATTTTTGACAAATTGGAAAAGAACTAGATTTGATTCTTTATTGAATTAAAGCTATTGACAGATTCTGACAGCTGTCAAAATGTGACGTGCATGAACTTTTTTCAATGTTTTATCACCAATAAACTATACCTTAACGAGAAAGAACCAGATAAGAGTATTTTTTTCTACTAAAACAAATGACAGGTTCTGACAGTTCTGTCATTTTTTTTAAAATTTTTGAATTCAGAATTTACATACAAGTTAAAAATGTCAGATGACATCATAAAATATTGAAAACTGGAAAAGATGAGTGCTGCCGTTTGGCAGGGTTTTGACAGGTGTCAAAATGGTTGACATTTTGGTCGACTTAGTAGAAATAGATGTTTTGTTCATCAAAATCTGCCATAGTTACTCTGCTTTTGGATATAAGATTCCAATATTTGACAGCTAATCACGCCTCACCTGTTATATATACAGGGTTGTGTCCATGGTAAAAAATGTTGGTTACGGCATCCCCAATAACATATTTAAATTTCATCCAAATATCACAGGTAACCAATTTCCATTTAAATATTGCGGGGTCCTTTTATACCGTTATGTCACGCCGTTGCCGAGATATTTGACCGTTCCGGTTCTTTTGGGAAACCCTGTATATTCTTAATACTTTAATAACTATAGTAGCATATTAGAGAGTTATTGGAACTATTAAATACTGCCTCGCAGTATTAAGGGTCTACGTTATTTTATTAGTGCATCAGCACTATTTTTCCAAGAAAAAAACAGTCATTGGAAGACTGTAGTAGGTACTAGAGTATTACCTTATTTTGTATTCATAATTTTGACAGCTGATAGCTATGTTTATAAATTTCAGCCTCAAAAAGTGTTTATTTTTGTTTGTGATTTTCTGCTGTTGCCCATTTTTTGATGTTACACACAGTACAATGGAAAACTATTGTAAAAAATAAATTTTCTAAGTAAAATTACGTCATCGTCGAAAAGCGAAATGTCAAAGTCGTCCAAAATGTCAGAAATTTGGAATAAGGGAAATTTACTGCCTCGCATTAACCATACACAAATAAAGGCAAGCAGTAACCTTATTAAGGGAATCCCTATTTTTAGACCCAAATGCGCATGCTTAGATGTCAAAATAAGGCTAATTTAAATACTGCTTGTCCTTATTGCACGTCCAATAACTCTCTATTAATAATAATAATAATAATATTAATAGTATATTATGATATAAGTGTATAAGAGGGTCTTTAAAGCAGTCGCAAGGGCTTTAAAGGCCTCTTATACACGCATATCATACGCTATTTTATATTACAAATGCATCATAATCTCAAAAATGTTTTAAATGTGTTCATTCATTTTGATGAATAGTAATTTAAACGGCAGGTGGATATCTAGGTAATGAAGGTAGATCAAACGTTTCTATAGCAAAACGTTGAAAAGTTAGGCGCATCATAAACATCATTTTATGCACGCTGCAGCGTGCGATAATCGTTGATTATGATGCATGCGTAATATAAACGTCTTTATTCAGGAAAAAAAAAATATATATGTACAAAAGACAATACACACTATATGGCAGGAATGGCGAGATTTAACTAAAGTTATTTTACCATATTAGAGTAGTTCGAACACTAACAATCGGAGCAGTGCAGACAGAACAGGGTTAGTGCAAATGAAACAGAAATTTAAAAGCCCGGTATTCATAGACAGGTGCTTGGCTCAAGCTCCGATTTCTGACAGTTGTGAGCATCGTTCCGTGCTGTTCGGGAACGCGGTAACTCGAATGCAGATGGAATACTTAAGCGTTGTAAAAAATCACTTTATTGGTTTAATATTCGATTGGTATTGTCTACATTTGTTCTGCAACAATACGAACTGGCTACACTGCAACCAACATAGCCTGACGTAATCTGAACGCTTTCCCGACAATAGAATACAACAGATGTTAAGTTTCGACTCGAAGAATCGACATAAGCTAGACAGCATCAGAGAGGCCTTATTCTTGACTTTCTCTCGAGAGAAAATTTGACTGTGTTGACAGTTAAACAGTGCATTAACTGTTAACAAAGTCAAATTTTCTACCTAGGTAAAGTCAAGAATAAAGCTTCGGATCTCTTCCTAAGTTTATACTTAATAGTACAATACTTTAAATTGTATAGATATTCGTACTACTATCATAGTAGATAAATTCATTGATTAGTAGCATACTAGAGTAGTTTGGATACTAAAAATCAGAACAGTGCAAACAGAACAGAGTTAGTGCAAATGAAACAGAAAATAAAGCAATTGGAACACTTAGAGTAACTCGAAAAATAGAAGAAATTCAATTTTTTTTAGAATAATTTGAATCGAGTTAGTGCAAATGGAATTAGAAGAGTCAAAGTAGTTAGGACAGTTGAACAGATCAAAAATAGTCAGTGCACATAAAACAGTCAGAGTAGAATTACTAAAAATCCAAAATTAATTTTCAAATCAGCTTATTAAAATTACACTCGGTTATTTACGCGCCACAATTTGTCGCTGCTACATTTCAACAAGCAATCGATAACGTTTTACGAGGATTACTAGGAAAAGTCTGTCTAGTATTGTAATAGTTATTTACCTAACAAGTCCGGAAATAGTATATTGTGCAACAAGTGTTGAAAATAGCACTTTTCACACGCGTGAGGAAGTTTGGTAACACGAGCCGCACACTCGTGCGGTGTGAAAAAGTAGGGAATAATTGTACTAGATTGGTTGTGTACTAACTGAAAGCGCGTCAAATTTTGAAATTTGAATTCAAATGTAGGCTCTGCTTATTGGGGGTAAATATCACTTGTTTTAGGGTCGGTTTCTCAATAGCGAGTCACCTCCGGGTTGGTTTTAACTTCAAGGTAAACCTGTTCTGTTGCAATGTTTACCATGGATCGAGTTATGTTTAACCTGGGGATGACTCGCTATTGAAAAACCGGCCCTGAATGATAGAAATAAATAAATTTCTACATATACTTTGCGTTCAGTATTTTGCCCAAAGAGCAGAGCGTGCTGAGCCGAGCTGTAATCACGTAACCAGCGAGCGAACAGAGCCGTTGAACGCTGTATCAAAGTGCCTGAAATTTGAATAAACAAACGCGAATGAGCCTGCACCGAGTACACTTTTTGTATAAACGAACGGTAAATTCAAGCTCGGAGAGCTCAGATCAAAATACCGAAATCACGGTTAGTTATAAATCGGCTACCGATTACCGTGATCGGCTGAAAACCGAATAACCCCCGATACATGACACATCAAATCACAAAAAAAAAGTGAGTGTGCATTCGAAACGCCAAATAGAATTCTACTTTCATGACATCAGATTGCCTAGCAACCATCATCATCGCCTGTACTGTACGGGATAAATAGGTCGCGGGTGACGTCACGGAAGTAGAATTCCACTCGCCGTGATCCCAGCCCGGAACGTGGAACCCAACCCACAAGTAGAGCGTAGAACTGAACTCGGGTACAGAGCGAAAAGCGACACTCGACTCGTAATCCAAATTGTACTAGATTTATGAGAGGTACTAGTGTACTAGGTGAAACGTGATTGTGCTAGATCTAGTACAATTGTACTAGAAATAGCATCCCTGCTACTAATCAATGCTCAATGTAAAATCGAAGAAAAAACAAATCCTTTGCTACCAGTCTACCAAGAAACTAGTTACATAATAACTAATTATTATCATGTAAATTTAACTAATATGAAAGATTGCATAGAGTCAACAAAATTAACTATTTTACAAGTTAATAAAACTTTAAGCAAATGCTATAAATGGATTATATCAAGTTAAAAAGAGTCAGTGCACTAGGAACAGTTAAAGTAGAATCACTAAAAACCCATAATGAATTTTTAAATCAGCCTATCAAAATCACACTCGGTTATTTACGCGCCACAAAACCTCCAAGTACTGAAGGGCCCTATACAACTCAACTTTGAATATTACATGTATCATTCGGGCCTATGATGTATCATTTTCTGTTATTATAACAGCAATGTTAAGTTATCTGTCACTGTTTATTCTATACGTCAAAATAGAGACAGAAATAGATGTTGAGGCTTAACATAGACAATAAAATAGCAAGACAGGATACATCATAGGCCTCATTGTCTCAATCGTTAAGTTACCTTCTGGCAGTTCTAGAAGTTTCTTTGGTAGTTCCTGAAAGTACCGGTGGTGCATGGCGTCTTCGGCACCCAACCTGTTGTCCGGATTGAGCTGTAGCAAGCCGGTAGCCATCGCCTCGCCGTATTGTACGTCGTGTAGCCGCGGCCAGCACAGTCCCAGCCTCCGCGTCTTGTAGTTGGCTAGTTTGTGAGGCTTGTAGCCCGGCAGTCGTGTACAGCCGGCCCAATCGTCTTCGGTGGGCGTGCCTAGTACCTGAAACGAATCAGAATTTATAGTGAAGAGATTTGCTGAACAATTTTCTTATTAATTCTCAGCATACAATATATATGTATATATATTTTTTTTAACAATTGAGTAATTACCTTAAAAATTTTATCTAGTTGATCATAAGTGTCCCTTACTCCGGGAAAAATCGCCATGCCAGTGATCATTTCAACAAAAATGCAACCTACACCCCACATATCTAAACTAGTAGAGTATTCAGTGGAACCTAACAGGACATCAGGCGGTCGGTACCATAACGTAACTACTTCGTGACTGTAAAAAAAAATTCAATATTATTCAAGATTACTCCTAGAATGTCAATATTACCTATACGTGTGACTAGGAACGCTTTTGGCCCGCGCCAATCCAAAATCAGCCAGTTTCAGCTCGCCAATTTCGGAAATTAAAAGGTTCTGAGGCTTGACGTCCCTGTGGAGTACCAGCCTCTTGTGACAGTACGACAGACCTCTCAGTAACTGGAAGAGGAAGAGGCGCACGTTTCGGAAATCCAGTCCGCCGCTGTGCCTCTCTAAATATTGCGATAAATCCGTATGCTGTTGAAAAAAAAATAAAAATTTAGTAGATTTCATAAACAAATTTTCAATCCAATTACTTCAACCCCTAGGCAGCTTTGTGTGGGTGCTTTTCAGTGGCCACTTTATGCCAATTAAAACAGAGTTTACGGTTTGTCAACACTACGCTAATTAAATTAAAGGTTTTAATTACCACATATTCAAAGACAAACGTCAAAGTCTCTTTCGTGTGCACGATATCGTGTAACGTTACGATATTGGCGTGTTTCAGTTCTTTGAGAAGGGAGGCCTCTCTGATTGCCGTAAAAGGAGCTCCTTCTTCTTCTTGCAGTCTAATTTCTTTTAATGCCACTACTTGGTTTTGTAAACTGTGAAAAATTTGAATTAATTAACATGTCACCGAATATATGAATCTAATTTACTTACTTGCTAAATCCTTTGTACACAGTAGCATATGATCCCTCTCCTAATTGTTCTAATTTAATGTAGGCTTCGGATTTACCGAAAGGCGAATCACCCTGAAAATAATTTTAACATTATAAATACAAAAACTCAAATCGAATAAAAGCAAGAAGCCGGAGGTCACTAATGGAGACAAAAGACTGGTTTTCGTTTTTTAATTTGGACCCCATGATTAAGACAGTAATTTAAAGAGCTCTTCCCTGGGGGCCTGGTAATCGAAGAGAGCAAACAGCCGTCCGGGATACGGAAGGGTGGGATTTGTTTGTTTTTCGTGGGTTTAATTATTGTAGTCTGATTTATGGTGAACAATTACAGGGTAATTAGAAAGAGTATTTCCAAGAAAGAAGTAATTTATGTAACTATGAAGGGTTGAATTATAATTCTGAATTTATATTTTTTTGTTGTATATTATCTTGAAGAAAGAAGTCTAAACTAGAATGTAAGTACCAGTGACTATTCAAAAATTCAGGAAAATCTGCATGGAATTGATCCACTTCCAAATGTGAAGTTTTTTCTTTTTTCAAGGTTTGCAAAATTCAGCATCTTTAGAACTAAAGCTTCTTCGTATAGAAAGCAAACCATTTACAAAAAAAGAATTCAGGATTTGAAAGTTTCTAAAATCTGAGAGGATCAAAAAATCTTGAAAATCTTCTCTTGAGAGTATCAAAAAGTTTGCAGAATAAATAATTAATCTTGGGGCTTTTTAGAGCAAAATCAAGAAATTTGCAAAGTAATGACTCAGAATTCAAGATCCACAATTTTTAACTTGTTGAATTTACAAAAGTATGAAGAAAGTTTCAAGTTTGCAGAATTCAGTTTTGGAATCCCAAGAGTTTTCTCGAAAAAAGGCAGAACAAATCAAAATTTGAAGTTTCTGAAAATCTGACAGGATACAGGGCCAAAAAATCCTGAAAATCTTCTCTTGAATGTTTTCAGAATAAGGAATCTAGAGACCTTTTACAGAAGAATCAAGAAATTTGCAGTAATGACTCAGAATTCAAGATCCACAATTCACGAAGAAAGTTTCAAGTTTGCAGAATTCAATTTTGGAATCTCAAGAGTTTTCTCGGTGATAAACAAAACAATTCTAGATTTGAAGTTTCTAAGAATCTGACGAGATACAGGATCAAAAAATCTTGAAAATTTTCTCCTGAAAGTTTTCAGAATAATGAATCTTAAGTCCTTTTAGAGAAGAATCAAGAAATTTGCAAAATAATGACTCAGAATTCAAGATCTACAATTTCTAACTAGTTGAATTTATAAAAGTACGAAGAAAGTTTCAAGTTTGCAGAATTCAGTTTTGGAATCCCAAGAGTTTTCTCGAAGAAAAGCAGAACAAATCAAAATTTGAAGTTTCTAAAAATTTGACAGAATACAGGGTCAAAAAATCCTGAAAATCTTCTCTTGAAAGTCAGAATAAGGAATCTAGAGACCTTTTACAGAAGAATCAAGAAATTTGCAGTAATGACTCAGAATTCAAGATCCACAATTCACGAAGAAAGTTTCAAGTTTGCAGAATTCAATTTTGGAATCCCAAGAGTTTTCTCGAAGAAAAGCAGAGCAAATCAAAATTTGAAGTTTCTAAAAATTTGACAGAATACAGGGTCAAAAAATCCTGCAAATCTTCTCTTGAAAGTCAGAATAAGGAATCTAGAGACCTTTTACAGAAGAATCAAGAAATTTGCAGTAATGACTCAGAATTCAAGATCCACAATTTCTAACTTGTTGAATTTACAAAAGTATGAAGAAAGTTTCAAGTTTGCAGAATTCAGTTTCGGAATCCCAAGAGTTTTCTCGAAGAAAAGCAGAACAAATCAAAATCTGAAGTTTCTAAAAATCTGACAGGATACAGGGTCAAAAAATCCTGAAAATCTTCTCTTGAAAGTTTTCAGAATAAGGAATCTAGAGACCTTTTACAGAAGAATCAAGAAATTTGCAAAAATGACGCAGAATTCAAGATCCACACTTCACAAAGAAAGTTTCAAGTTTGCAGAATTCAATTTTGGAATCTCAAGAGTTTTCTCGGTGATAAACAAAACAATTCTAGATTTGAAGTTTCTAAGAATCTGACGAGATACAGGATCAAAAAAATCTTGAAAATTTTTTCCTGAAAGTTTTCAGAATAATGAATCTTAAGTCCTTTTAGAGAAGAATCAAGAAATTTGCAAAATAATGACTTAGAATTCAACATCTACAATTTCTAACTTGTTGAATTTATAAAAGTATGAAGAAAGTTTCAAGTTTGCAGAATTCAGTTTTGGAATCCCAAGAGTTTTCTCGAAGAAAAGCAGAACAATTTGAAATTTGAACTTTCTGAAAATCTGACAGGATACAGGGTCAAAAAATCCTGAAAAATCTTCTCTTGAAAGTTTTCAGAATAAGGAATCTAGAGTCCTTTTACAAAAGAATGAAGAAATTTGCAGTAATGACTCAGAATTCAAGATCCACAATTTCTAACTTGTTTTTTTATAAAAGCACGAAGAACGTTTCAAGTTTGCAGAATTCAGTTTTGGAGTCTCAAGAGTTTTCTCTAGGAAAAGCAGAACAATTCAAAATGTGAAGTTTCTAAGAATCTGACAAGATATAGGATCAAAAAATCTTGAAAATTTTCTCCTGAAAGTTTTCAGAATAATTAATCTTGAGTCCTTTTAGAGAAGAATCGAGAAATTTGCAAAGTAATGACTCAGAATTCGAGATCCACAATTTCTAATTTGTTTTTTTTATAAAAGCACAAAGACAGTTTCAAAATTGTAGAGTTTTCTCGAAGAAAAGCAGAACAATTCAAAATCTGAATTTTCTAACAAGATCTGAAAATCATAAGAAATATTTTCTTAGAAAGTGTGAAGAATAATAAATCAAAATTCAACATCTTGGAAGTTGAGGGTAGTTTTTCATATTGCATAGGGGTTGAAAATGGCGTTAAAATAGTATTCATCAATTTCATGGCTAGACTCGAAGTCCAAGTTGGAAAAGAATACAAAAATCTGGATATTTATGCATTTTTGTTTGTATAGGGTGGGTTTTCATGTTTCAACGGAGTTTGAGTCGATGGGATTTTCCATGGGGATTGGAAAAGGTGTTAAAATAGTATTCTATCAATTCTATGGCTAGACTCTACTCTAAGTATGATTTATTGGATGATTCGGTATCTAAAGGATTTATTATTCAGCGCTTGGATTCTTTAACGAATAGAGATATTTTCTATATTTCTATTGCTGTCCCCTCTCTATTGATTTCGGAAAAAGAGAAGAAGATAGCAAGTGCCATAGCGATGGGGATAACAATCTCTATCTGTTACAAAGTCCTAGCTCTGACATCTTTTCAAAAAATCCGAAAATGTGTTTTTTGGTTTTTGAAAGTATTTTCACTTTTTAAAGAAGAATCAAGGAAAGTGCAAAGTGATAATCTACGGTTTTTAGAATTTTACCCTACAAGCAACAATAAATGTTCAAAGTTTGCAGAAATCTGGACTTTGCAGAAGAACAAATCAAAATCTGATAGAATTTTCAAAATATTCTCCTGGAAAAACCAGAAAGTTTACAAAATAATGACTAGTTGATTCAGAATTTCAAGAGTACTTTCAAGAAAAGAATCAGGAATTTACCTATATTCAATACTGAAGAGTTTTTGGTTAGTTAGCCAGTTTCCCAGCAGGAACTGAGGTCCCATATGGGAAGCTACTCAGCTATAGTTGTTTTTGAACTAATATCTCTAGATTGATTATTTCAATTTGTTAGGATATTCTCTCGTCAGGGTAGGAAAATGTTAGTAAATTCAACAAGGCCCTAATACACGCTTTAAATCCACAAAATCGAAATCTCAGCACAAAAAGACAGCACATAATTTCTTAGGTTTTAATTTACTTCTTTATCGGTGTTGTTTATAGCAGGAAACGATTTTTGTTAAATACATGAACAATAAATTGAACTCTCACAAACAAAATAATAATTATCTAACTGACCTGGTGATCGCTCCTTGACACACACACTAATACCAAATTGGATTGAACAATCAGTTTATTGCAAAATAAAAATGAAAATCGAATAATGAATAATTACAGACACGCGATACGCGTCTAACGGACCAGCCCTAGCTTATTCTCTAGCATCTTGAATTTTAATTTCGGATGCTGCAACTGCTGCTTGGATTTTCAAATTAACTTTGTATCAAAATGAAAGAGACAAGACATTGTTCTCGCCAGATTTACCACAAAATAGGTGGAAATTAATAACGTCGTTAACAAGTCAGAGATTTCCTTCCTTCAACACAATTTTCCAATTTAAACAAATCGTCCTCTGCTACTGAAACGAATTTGCCATCGAATACATTTTTAATATCCCCAAAGGATTTGAGTAAATTTTCCTCTGGATTAGGCGAGGCTTTTGTATGTTTATTTCATGTCCGGGCTAGATTATGTTGTAAATTATTTACCCAGTGAAGTGCAACATTTTTGCCAATTTATCTTTGGAACGGCGGACAATAAATAATCCAGGCATCGCGTGATGTTTCAAGGATCGCAAAAAAAAAAGTTTTTTATTAGGGCTAGAACACGAACTATGATCCCCTAATCCAGAAACTTTCCCTTTTTTGTTTTTGCGGGAGAAGCAATTAATCCGTTAAACGTTCAACAAGAAGTTTTTTTCCAATAATGAATGTGCCAGGAACAATGTCGAATTACTCTGTTAGTTGTTATTTAATGCCTTTTGAAAGTTTAGTCTTTTGGGAATTGTTTCCATCAAGAGTGATTCTCGTTTCTAGAAGCGAAAAGAATGTTCAGTCCGTTTTTATTTATTTTGATTTACGAATTTCAAGATATTGAAGCTTAAAGATTTCGTTATAAGAAAAAAGAGATTATTTCTTCCATAAACTCCCCTAACTTGAATCCCTCCAAACAAAAACAACACAAAAGGTGTTCAATAATGCATAAGTGCCCACTTTGTACTAGAGGGTCAGCTGCTTTTAACGCCCTTTAACTTCCACTAATTCGAATTCCCGTACATTAATATAAGTTTGTACAGGAGTGATGTGTAGTTTGATTGTAGTTTGGGGAGGAAAA